CTTTTCCAGAAACTCTTTTAGTGTCAAAGTTTTCCTGGCTGATTCTCTGTCATTCTCTTTACCTTGCCTTTCCACTCATTCCTGTGGTCTCACCCATTTTTAAAAAGTAGTATTATTTTCTGGTTCTCTGGGAACTCACTTATTCTTCCTCAATCAAAAAGAAAGTAATTATAAGATTATTTCAATTTTCCTCCTTATTATTATAGAACAGATTTAATCAGAACTTAATGTAATTATATATCTAATTAGCTTGACATCCTCTGACCTGCATTTCTGGTTAACGTTGATTATGACAGGCATTGTTTAGATACACAAAGCTGTATCTGAAGTGTGCTCACACCAGGCTCAGAGCAAATCATAGCCTGGCTGTCATCAGGGGGATAAGAGGCTGGTATGGGTAGGAATGTGAGCACAGTGTTCTTCAACACATCCCCTGGTCTGGAGAAATAATAAATGAGAGACTATTTGTGACATTTCCAAAGACTTCATCCTCATAATTTTCAAATGCATCCTAGGATGTTCAGTATCTCACCAGCTTAGTTGATTAAACATCAAAACACAGTTTGGCACTCTGTTGCGTTCTCCACATCTTTCTCTAGGTTTCAGTCAATTATCTTTTATTTAAATAGACTAATTTTGGTGGATTTTTTATTCCCAACAAAGAATTATCCAACCTTTGACCTGTAGTTTACCTTCATGGAGAAAAGTTACTTTGCTCATATCTGTGGATCTGTACTCTCATCTCAGAAGTCATTTGTTCTTTTCCACCTTTTATTTTTCAAGTCCTTTGCCCTTTCACTTCTTTGCATCAAGCAAATGAGAACTAGAAGATATCTTGAAAGGACATCAAGACACTTCTTCCCCAGAAAATCCAAACTTCTTCCCTGGGGAAACTTCTTAACTTTTCCCCAGAAAACCCAATAATCCTAGTTTATGAATGTGCAGCTGGTTATCCTGGAATTTTGCTACTTAGGTGAATAATTGACTACTGTTACTGTTTATGAATTTTATCTCATATGACAGCAAATAAGCATCTATTTGCAGAGTTGTTGTCATTCATTGATGGATTAAAAACAGCCACATTAAAAGTTCCTTCAAACTTGCTTGCCACAGGAATTTTTAAATAAGAATTCAAAATGTGAAATTGTTCATTCTCACACGTATTTTAGAGGGTTATCAGACTATGAAAACATATAAAAATCTGCAGTGGAATATTCCATCATAAAATAGTAATTTATTGGTATGTAATAATTACAAGATCTCTTGTGGGGAAAAGACTCCCAAAACACCTTTATAGTCCAAACTGTAGTGAGGGCAGTGTCTTACATTTATAATAACTTATTGAAGGCAAAAACATTTATAGGTAAAGAGTATCACCTAGTCAGTCAAATCCCAAAGATGACCTTTCAACTAATTTTGATTTATAGGACTTTAGTTTTCAAATATTGTTCAAATCTGCATTTCCAATGCTTTGAGGGTCTGTCAAAGCTCAGCATTCATTTAAAACAAATTATTTATAAAGGATATTTTGAGAAAAAAAGACTTTCTGAAAAAAAAAAAAAGATAAGATAGCTCTAAACAGAACACTTGGAATTCACACAAGGTTATGCTTTGGATTGAATTTGAACAAGTATAAGGGAGAAAAAGAATTTATCTGCACTCTTTCCACCATCATAATATCAAGGATTGAAACAATCAACTGTATGTTTAACACTGAGAAAACTGATGGCTTACACCCCTTTCTAACTGTAGCTTATTTATTTTTTATTTACAAACTTGAGGAAAGTTTTAATCCTTTGCAAATCACATCGAGTACTCACAGAAATGCTGAGTCTCAGCAATGCTTATGAAACAAATCCAATACACAAAGCCAAGTCTGGAAGTGGTTGAAAATTTTCTAAGGAAAGGAATTTGTCAGAATCATGAATCAGTCTTGATTCATTAATTATATGCCAGGTCCTTGGTTTGGGATTCTACAGAATGGTTCATAGGATCCAATTGAATTCTATCCCTGTTTCCTGCCAGGCTTCTGGAGGTGTTGGAGCTGGAAACCCGATTTCTAACAGAGCTGGTGAAAGAAGGACACACATCCCAGCTCGCTCATAAGAGGAGTGAAAACCCCAGGGATCCTGGAGGCAAACATCTGCCTAGGGCACCAATACACAAAGCAGCTGTAATATCTCCCAAGGAGCAGACTTCATTTCAGAACTCCATGGGTCACTGTTTGAAAAATAAACATAAAAGCAAGATGAGGGGAATGTGGAAAAAATGAGGAAGAGCTAGGACAGCTGTGGTTTAAAGAACAAACTCAAATATTTCCCCCCAAAAATTCTAGTTTGGTATTGGAACAGAAGCACAGGGCCAGACTGCAAAGTCCCTCATTCATGCAGTTTGATTACTGATGCCAATAATATTTTGCCAACTAGATAAAAATGAACATGTTTCTTTGATAGGCTTTGTCCCATTTTTTTTCCTTAAACAACATTCCCTACAAAGAGAAAAGAACTTTAGTTCAACCCTTACTGCTTGTTAGTCATAAATAAGCAGCACAGTTATATGCTAGATGCAACTTTCTTTGGAAATCTGTGTCATATAAGATGCACATACTTACTGTTCATGGACAAAACTAAACCAGTTTCCTTGTAAAGGAGTGGAGGTTTTTTTTTTCATTAGCTATTAATATTTGTTGCTGTTGTTGTTGTGGAGTGGGGCCTAAAGGCAACATCTGAAATGTCTGATTGATGGAAACACCTCAAAGTAGTACCATAATTCAATATATACATTAATAGCAATATAAATACACTGAAGCACTTACAGAAGACATGAGCTGATTTTTAAAATCTTGTATAGTACCACCTATTGTCATAGAATAAACAATATTTTCTAGATGTAGTAACACAGAGCTAAGAAATACATGAACTAATTCTCATGAGTGCAAAATATAAATGATAAGAAAATTCACAAAAGCAATTTCAAAAGTCTGACTGGTAACTGTATAAAATGAATTTATTAAGGTTATGTGATCAGCAAGTCTTGTGCAGTATTTTACATTAGTAAAACTTATGCTACTTAAAATTTTACTGTTGTTCAAAGGCAAGGAGTGGGTTTAAGCAAATGGTAATTTTTAATTGAACAAATCCCAAATAACTACTAACAAAACCAATTATTTAAAATAAATGCATACAGATAAAATATGTTAAATGTATGTCTGAAGATAAAGTTACTATTGACATTCTTCAATCATAAAGGTAGGAGGTAAATATGAAATGTTTTCACCTTTGACAATTTTCAGAGAAACAGCAACACGATTTACTTCCCCAAGGGTAAGTCAGAATACATAATTAATGACATGTCAAACCTACATATGGTAAATAAAATAAATCATATGAAAAGTAGGACAAAACCAAGAAAACCCTGTTGAGGACTGAGTTCTTCAATGTTTAAACCAGTAAGAGCCAAAAGTTAGTAGTACAGTATTAGTAAGAAAAAGTAACTGAGTATTTAAAGGAAAGTATGGACACTGTGTTTTTACTGAGGAAGATGAGAGAGGGTTGAGATGTAATATTGCTGTTACTGACAAAGAAAAGGAGAAGCCTGCCTCTTGTACATTGAGAAAGCTACAGTTTAGCATGTGCTCATGCATTTCTGTCAGACTCAACAGTACAACTGCAAAATACCAGACACGTACCCACTCCCGTTTCTTACATTCTCCATCACTAACACTCGGTGAGATACTTACTTCACACCTGCCTATACCCACTCCCGTTTCTTACATCGTTATCCTTCTCCATCACTAACACTCGGTGAGATACTTACTTCACACCTGCCTGTCTCTCAAAACATTTTCTTTTTAATTTTTTTAACACAGTTCTAAGCAGATCAGTTTCAGAACAGTGCTTAAGTGCTTCTTACCCTTCTCTACTTCTCATTCAACACTACCATTGCTCCCTCTGGTAGAAATACTTGTATTTTTAACTAATTTTTAGCCTTAACATTCTGGCCCTCCATAAACCTGGGTAGCTCAACAAATTTTCTAGCAATAGCAACACATTTCATGGCCATTTAGAAGGTCATAAGCTCTATGAATAGGTTAGCACCACAGTTTTACAAGCTGCAGGTCCAAATTTCACATGGTTATCTTCTATTGAATGCTACTGGAGCACTGTGATCTACAAAAACAATCTCAGGAGCAAAAGCCATACTCAAATGTGCAGACAGACATAAATTGGCAAAGTGACTCTTGTGCCAAATACAGATGAAAAGAGCAATTTCACATTTACTGTCTTCACAACGCGAGGAGTGCAGAAGCAGAGCAACAAATTGGTAATACTTACATTCAGATCTTACTTGCATTTGGAAACAGGTTAGTCTGATGACTTTAAAATCAAACTAAAAAAAAAAAGTTGAACGATAGCATTCCTCTCCTTCCTTGGTAGGAGAAACAGACAGCCAGTTATTTATGTCAGTTACAGTTTTCATAATACACAACATAAAAGCAAGACACACCAAGAATTAATGAATAGCAGAGCATCTGGGTTTCTGAATTATATGCACAATGTGACAGGATATTAGTGTACTGGCTTTATATAAAAATAGATTCAACATTTAATGAATTATGCTTTGAACTCTCCTAGGCCAACTTGGCAACAGAAAGTAGAATTTTAATGTTTTTCCACAGTATTTTTTAGATATTGGTTTTCAGGCTAATTAATTATTTATGCTAAAGAAGAGTAACAAAATTAATAAGCCTTTTCATCTATACTCTCTTTAATTTTATCTCTCTTTTTATTCTTTTAATCTGCCATTCAGTTGCTAGTGATTCAAATTTCATTAGTCAGCATTTTATAATTCCATGTTATGAAATATAATAATTTCAACTTGAGAAAGTATCTTATGTTGCTTCACTTAAGTATTTTCTTGGAAGTAGGTCCAGTAGGTGAAGTCAACTTAATCCAGTTTTACAGTCTAGATCCAGAATAGAACAGATGAAACATAAATAATTACTGAAATGTTGCTTTCATCCTGCGCAGTGTGTCCTGAATTTTTCGAGAATGTTTTTCTGCTGGTATCTGATGGAAGTTGGCACAGTTGTCAGCTGCCAAGGCAGAAATGTCTGCATCTTTAAAACGAGTTATTCTTTGTCTGAGGTAAGACTGCAGCTTGAAATCTGGTGCATATGTATAAGGATTCTCTTGAAAGGCATGAACTTGGCTCACAACTTTGGCAATATTTCTTTTAAGAGAATATAGTAAAAAAGATTAGTTTGTTTTGCTGATGATAAAAGCAAAAGCATAAACCAAAAAACAAACCTTAAAGGAAATTAAAGGCACCCAGCATTTTATTCTATTGTATACGTACCTCTAGTCACATGTCTAAACAAATGAAACAATTTGAACTGTTAATTGTGAAATACTGCATTAGCTCTCATTATCTCATCAGGCAATAACAAAAAACATAGGTGACAGATGCACATAATTAAATAATTACCTAAGTTTAGTCCATTTGTGAGCTCCATTTGTCATTGTGAATCCTCCAGTTTCAAGTTGTTGAACATGCATAGCCAAAACATGGGCTGATGGAATTGTTGGAAGAGTTTTGAATCTGTCTCCTTCCATCAGACATAAACTGTCACTTTTTAAAAACACCTAGTTAAAAACCAGATTAATCTCATATTAAGTCTTGGGGAGGTTTTACAAGTTCTCCATATACTTAACACTATCTATCTATTTGCCACGAAGATTAACTTTTGGCACAGAAATTGAAGACAACACTATGAATTCACCTGCTGACAAACTTTTTAAAGTACACAAATAAAGTAACTTTAATCAAAAGATATTTCATATATAATTTCAATTGTTCTAAATGAAAGGCAAAACTGCATTTTAAAACTTCACTATGTTTCAAAATTGTACAGATCAATGAAAGAACGCCTTTAACAAAATAGGCATTTAAGATTTTTCAGAACACATTACAGCTGCAAAGCTTCTGCAGAAATCTTCTAATACAATGTAGCATATCTAATGTTTTAGCTTGCTTTTGAAATTTTGATTTGTCACACAGGACACATGTTAAAGAAATACTGAGATTAAAATTTATGTAAACTCTTAGATTAGGAGTAGAAGTCTTTAATCAAATTAAACTCATAACTAAAAGTAATAATTATGGTTTTCATCCTGTGAAGACACCCATTTAAGCACATCTTGCACCTTTTCCAACCCCTAAGATGTAATTTTGCATTAAAAAATTTATACTATACCTCAACAGCCTTGAGCTCCTCCATTATCTCAGCTACTTTTGCAGGTAGAATTTTCCAGGCCTTACAATAAAACAGAATACATTTTTGTTTTTCACATTAGTGTCTATATTGGAACAAGATTATATTAAGCAAAATGGTTAGAGAACAGAGTCCCAAACTTACTGGCAACTGTCGTACAATAAGATTTTCCAAGCCTGCTAGGATTTGCATTGCAGTAGCAAAATTTCTTTGTTCATAGCAGCATTTTGCTATAAGAAGAAATTTTGATAACAAGCTCACCTGCCGCTGGGAAAAAAATAAGACATATAATCTATATATATATATATACACATACATAGTAAATCTACATAATAAAACTAAATGAGAAGGAAGAGGAGGTATTTCCTTTTTCAATTTGTTATCAAAATTGCTGACTGTAGTAACATTTCCCTTCACAGAGTTTTTCCCTTCCCGTCACTCAGATATCCTTGAATAACGTTTGACCCATACTCCCCTAATTTCTTATATTTCTTACATTCTGTGAGATTTTGACACCTGCTACTAAAAAGCATCCAAGACCCTCCTTGTGACAACAAGCCAAATTGTTCACTGCCCACTGACAGGTGTATTTCAGACCATTTCTTGCAGGTTTGTTACACAACAAGTCATAGATAATGACAAATACATAACTGTTTTGTAGTTAATAGTACAATAAACAATGACAAACCTTAGTTGTGTGACATGTTACAATTTCAGCAGCAACCCAAGTGCTGATACTGTCTGCGTTTTTCAATAATTGCAGAAGGTACTGGTCTTGTATGCACTTTGACAGAAAAAGATTACAGACTTTAAGGGAAACTGTCTCAGCAGAAACTGCCCTAAAGAAAATACAGAAAAAAAAAAAAAGGAAAAAATAATTCTGGCTGATACTGGATTTTTAAAGAAAACCTTGATTGTGAAGATGTCAACTTCTAACCATTTAAAATAATTTTGCATTGCTTGGCATCTTGATTTTATACTTCATGATGTATGTAGTGAGTCATGTTACTTTTTCTTCCTTATAATTACAAGGTAAGTATATCTGATAAAAGAAAACCACATTTACAGGATACATTTTTGTACATAAAAACACTTTCACCACTCATTAGTGCATAATAAGATCCCAGCCAATCTGGCACAAAATAACAGCCAGAAACCCAAACGCAAAAACTGCAGCCACATAAGAAATTGAGCTTGATATCAAGTGGCACCACGCGTCATTTCCCATGACTGACCCCAAAATCTATATAAACCAGGTGATCTAACCTTGGCCATTGAACAACCTGAGTTGCTCTGGATGTTTATTCCCTATCCTTAGAAGCAAAAATCTACCACAGGCAGTGCAATTAACAACTCCAAATTAGAAGCTAACTGAATCCACTGAGTATGTAAGAAGTAGACCATCATAAAAATAATTAGGTCTATGTCGTTGGATGAAAACATTAATTACTGATGAGCAAATAATTTAAGCAGGTTGGTAATCACTCCAGTAACTATAGGAAAATTCCTGTATATATCTGAATACCAATAATTCATCTCCCTAACACACAGAAGGAACATTGTACAGAGAAGCTGTGGAGTCTCCATCTACCTTCAAAACCCAACTGCACACAACCATGGGCAACCTGGTCCAGCTGCGTGGTTGGACTACATAGCTTCAGAGGTCCCTTCCAACCTCAGCTATTCTGTGAGACTGTAAATGTCTTTGAGATTTTATATACATTCACACATTCATGACCACAGATCTACTCCACAACCCACTTTTTCCCTGCCAAAAATGAATCCTTTCAAGCAACCACCAATGCAAGTTCTTAGAAATAAGAACTTTTAGCCTCAACTCACCTCAGATTTCAAAGAAATCACCTGGCAAATGTGGCCTTCCACATACATGCATATACATAGGCACAAACCTGTATCCACAAATGAAATTTCCTGCAATTAAATAACCCATATAAACAGGCTACCTAGTCTGTAAAAAAATATCAAGTATTTAAATTGTTTATCTGTTTCTGGCTGTATTAAAAGTGTAAAACTCTAAGTTATTGTGCATCGACAGAATTGAAGTGTAGTTAAAACAAGCAACTTACTTTGGCACAGCAACACATTTGTCTTTAACACCAAGTGCTCTGGAATTTAGGAAGTGTACTGGGTGACATTTATTAAATACTTCCTAAACAAACAAAAAAAAAAAAGCAAGATATATCTGCTGTTAGTTCTAACAGTTCTTTTAAAATGCTTGGGAATAAAAATGACAGAGTATGGTCCTCCTCCCACCCCACCTGCATGAATTTTGAGAGGGATCACAGCCTAAGAATAGCATTAGATCCTCTAAATTTCACTGTAGAGATTTAAGAGAAAAGTTTTAATTCTAAGTCTTATAAAATAGTATGAAATAAGCTTGAAACAAGGTTGGGAAATGATAAAGAAAGAAGAGAAAGAGTAAGAAGATAGATATTTGTACTTCCAAATAAGCCTAGAGCTTTGTACCTGTTGCAGTAGTGTCAGCTGCCAACCAAGCTCCTGGGCACTGCACTCAATCAAGAGACCTGGTCCCACTTCATCTGCTCTAGCTAAGGAGACTGAGGATTCCTCTGTGAAACTGCTGCAGCAGGGCTTTGGCAAAACTGCTGAACCTGTGTGCAGTCGTTCTCTCTGGTACTGGCCAATTGGTCCCATACCTTTGGAGAGCTTCCAGTAGAAGTTCTGTAGAAAAAATAAATGTAAGGTTACAACCTCTCTAAAGCAAACACTAAGTCTCCCCTTGATGTAACTTTCAAGAAAGCATTGTTAAGAGAAACACCTTTGTGCATGCAAAACTCTTCAGCTAACCTTCAGGGTTAGCCCAGAACAAATTGGTTTACTCAACACTGCTATTTTAAGCTAATATCATATGCACAGTGGATGAGTCTAAGCAGGAGGCTGCCAGATCTCAATCAACAATCAGTATTTAAAACAAACCCCTGTTTATTGAAGCTTGCTGTCATAAAATATTTTACTTTTTGCTTAGAATCAAACATCCCTTTCCAAGAAACACTTGGTTTTTCATTCTTTTCTCTTCTTCCATTGTCCATTATCATTATTGTGCAGTGACAATAAAAAAAGTCCATGTTCCTCTATTCTGTTTGCCCTTTCTTGGCTGAACCCCCAGTACACCCATGGAATTGTGCACCTTCATCACGAGGCTGATGTTTAATTCAGCTTGCAAATTATTGACACATTTGACTTCCACATGTTATTTTGGTCACTCTGTAAAGAGATCTGTTTTTGGGAAAAGCCTGCAATATGTTCTGGTTTCTGGGGCTGTAGAACACAACAAAATAGTACATACAGACAAAAGTTCAGACAAGTTCTTGCTATAAGCTTTGAAGTTCTAGCAGGGAACCTTGTAGCTCCTACTGCTTTCTTGTATTTATAGTCTTACAAAAATGCCTAATGAAAAGCATTAATGGTTGGCAAGAGGGCAAAGGTTTCCTAGTAAGTATGAGTCACATGCTAGTGTCAAGAATGAAGAATTCTACTCTCAAAATTGTGATTATCTGAACTGTGATTACTGAAACAGCTGTCAGGAGTTAAAACTTAAGATTATTGTCATGGTTACAGAACTGTCGGAATCTTACATACTTTCAAAAGAAAATTTAAAATGCAGGTATATAATCCTTACTAAGTAGTTCTGGACTCTAAGTTGGACACTTCTGTTTTTCTCAAAACATAACATATGGAAATGTGCACCATACACTGTAGTCTGAAGAAAAGACACACCTTTCTGGAAACATCTTCTGAGAGCTTTTTACATAGGGAATGTAATGTTTTTCTGCCTTCCTCACTTTCCTCTTTGCATTTGTCCACACCAGAGCACAGATCAGCACTGCCACTTTTCCTGGCAGAGGCATCCTCGAGTAGCGACAACAAGCGCTCCCCGTAGCCATTTAATGAGGCAACCTGGGAACACAAAATAGGCTAACAGAACACAGAACACAATTCCCTAGAAATTATAAGCAAGTTACAATACAGTTGTAAGATTCTTATGCGTCCAAAACCAGACATACTGAGCACAGCTGTCAAATGCAGCATTATTCTTTTATTTACTTTAATTGTACTTAGAGCAGCTTTTTGTAATAACTATGTTACATATCCCATAACTGACTTAATTTTTTTTTTTTTCTTAAAGGATCTACTGAAATTCTGAATTACCTTGGAAGAAATAAATTCTTTTAGGGTACCCAGAAGATCAGTATTTGTTGCAAAGTCTACACTGTAACAGTCTTCAATCCATGCCTGCAGGATGCAGAAACTGCGGTTACATATTTTGGTAAGCGATGTGGAAGGATCCAGGCTTGAACTGGTGAGAAGAAAAAGAAATTTATCACACCAAAATTAATATCCAATGCCAATTTAAAAATAAGCATTGATAAACCCCACAAGTTTTACTTGGTATTTAATGTAGTATCTTAAAATCCTAATTTTCATGTCTCTAGAATCCATGGCTCTGTGGAAACAAAGCTGAGGTTGTAATTACAACCCATTAGTGGGTCACTGGTAAAAGTGAGAAGCAGAACTGAGAAGTAAGCACATTGTCAGATGCAGCTCTTGCTCTCATTTTGCTCTCACTTGTTAAGAGAATCTTACAAAAACAAACTTAAAAATTAATTTTAATTAAGTAGGACTTCTGAGAAACAGAGTTATTGAGAGAAAACTCAATTGTGCTTTGAAAATGTTTTTCATGGGAATTTACTGTACCTGGATAAAGTGCTGCTGATTCTATCAAGAAGAAACTGCAAAAATTCTTCTTGTGTGCAGAAATAGCGAAATGTGTAAAGAAACTGCTGTACATAACCTTCTAAAAAGGCATTTCTGTAAAGCACAAGAAAAACTTCAGACAAGCCAGAATACATCTTCAACTTGCATTCAAGTACAGCAACAGCAAAAAAATCTTCAAAATATCAAAAATAGGCATTTTAAATTCTCAAGTGCTTCATAAAACCCTGGTTCTTTTTAAAATTACTTTTATACATCAAGTACTGTGATTGCCAACCCTGAAAGCATAATTTGTTTTATAAAGAGTTTCTCTACTTTCAATCTTGTGAATAACCACTTTGACATTTCTATTATTAAGGCAAGTTGCAATCTAAATAGTATGGAAGAACATATTACATTTTCTTTTTTTTCTGTCATCTAACTTCATGCTGCTTTAAAGTGTTCTAATTATAACAACAGCATAAGAAGTAGATACATTAAGCAAGAAAATATTCCCTGTCATTCTAATTAGAGGAGTAGTTACTTTAATAACGGAATATGCTTATTATACACACATTAAGAATGAGGAAATTTTATTTTTTCATACACACACACACTCTCAATATCTTAACACAGGTTAATTGTTTTTTCTCCCTATTGGCTTACAGCTGACCATGAAAATTTGGATTTCATGAACGTGGAAAGTCCAGTTCCAAAACATTTCCTTCACTTTGTTCAAAATACTAACTACTAGGAAAATCAGCACTCAGTGTAACTGGGTCTCAACAGTCAGGATGAACTGGGAGAAGTAGCTGGGAGGAAGTTGTTCCCTCTACAGTGGCACAAGTCTGATGGAGCCTCTGGCAATTTCCATCCTTCACACTATTACAGCTTAGGTACCTCAAAACAACACTGCCACCACCAGAGTTGAAGGACACCTCTGTCCCCATTTAAACCCTGAGATAAGCCTGAATCTTGATCAGTGCCAAGGACTGATTATTGGGGCAATAATGTGTAGAAACAAACATCAACATTTTAATATCCAGACCTTATTAATAAGAATTACCAAATTATTATGATTATATGATTATTTGAAGAATTGCTGTACTGCTGGCAGTAACTTAAAGTCTTGATTCCATGGCAACTATCAGAGGAAGCCTCAAGAAAGTCAAAGACTAAAAAGTTCAAAATTGCTAGTTTTTTATTTATTATCAAATACTTATAATGAAAGCCAGCTGATCTTTTGACATTTTCATCTCCATTTCTATAAATGAGTGTTCACAGAAATAACACAAACTTGACAGAAGAGAGGAGAATTTATTAAATGCTTAGTAACTAGGATTCATCACAGAAAAAAAGTTTTGCCTGATTTAGCAACTATGGTTCAACCCACTCCCAATTTATGTGTAAAATATATTATACCTAGAATACAAACAAGCCATTAAACCAAGTGGTGTACCGGCCTGCAGAACTCTCACTCCATTTTGATTGTTACACTGCTGTTTCTCTGTGTTATAGTAAAGCAGCAGTGATGATTCATCCACAGGTGCCATGTCCATGGTGTCACCTTTCCCATTGTGAATGACTGTAGGCAGCACACAGGATTCCACACCCCACTGCTCTGCATACATCATCTGCTCAAAGAAGCAAGGCCATGAAAAAACAAGAAATTAAAGAGGAAAATTCACAAAAAATGCAATAAATGTAAAGACAAATTGCATTTCATATAATTGATTTTTTTCCTTTTAAATTAATACTAGCAGCAATTACCTTTAATAATTCTTTTGGCTCTTACTTAATTTGGCAGTTTGACACAAACCATTTCAAATTTCATACAGTGATCTGACCAGCCAGTTACACTGATGCAGTAAATGAAGCACAAGTGAAATAAAGTTTGACTTACCTGCACGTATTTCTTTACCAGTTCAAGAAACTGCACTTTTGATTTCATCTCCTGTAGCTGTCCTCTCAGTTTGTGCAACATAGATTTAGTTTCAGGACCTTTAGATTTAAAATACATGGCATAAGAACATCAATGATTCAGAGTTACAGAGCAGGTCCTTAAAAGTACCATGCAGCCATTTTATTACTGGCAAGTTGCAGTAATCTTACCTTTGCTTCTTCTTTCTTTCTGCAATAGTTTCTGGTAAAACTTTATGGTCTTTCTGTAATTTTTTGTCTCCATCATTAGCAATTGTTCTAGTTCCTATTTAAAAAGAAATAGGATTCTGATCAGAATTGTAAGTAGAAGGCAGTTCTAGTAAGAAAGTTAAGTTTTAGAGGAGAATTATTTTGTATGAAGAAAAAAGAACATCCAAACAGACAAGAATGCATTATTAACAATGAACAGCTACCTTTTATATCTGTGTTTACAAGCAAGATACAGCAGGAGTTACCTGTTCCCAGAAAAACACCAGTAATGTCACAGTTCTACAACTGGACAGGAGCAGTTTTGTGTATGATGAGACTGTGTAGAAGTTTGTCTGAATTTGTTCACATAAATATGCCTTTAGTTATAATTGCACTTATCTGGTTGTTTTCAAGAGCATTTTTAAAAACTAAAATCAGAAGTCATCCAGAATTAAAATTTGTATGTTCCGAATTTAGTGCAGGCCCCAGAAACACTTTAAACAGCTGACCTATATTTGCAGCAAGAACTGAAAGTCTGACTGAAATCAATGGCTTCCAAACAAGGATAATTACATGATATTATATAACCAGGTCAGAAGGCAGACAAGAGAGCTGTTCTAGAAATAAAGGACATATAAATTTCAAAGTCCAGCTTTCATATTTTCTATTTATGTATTTCACAAAATTGAAAAAAGGAAACTAAATTTCTATAGAATTATGTAACTTAAGCAATGAGTAGAAATGAAAGTATATCAGGCCCCTCAAAATATATCAATTTAAAAGTAAACATTTACAATTATAATTGCTTGCATATCAAAGGTTTCATTATTTTACCAGCCAGCAAAAATGGGCCATTCACTTTGAGTTCAGCTTCTGATTTATTATGAAACAATGAACATGATGTATGTTGGGCTTTATAAAAGAGGTGACTTTTGCACTTGGATCCTAAGTTAACTACCAGTGACCCAGTTACATGAAACAGCATTTGAAATACAGTAAGTTCACGGAATGCAGCAGACAACTCCCACAGGCAGAGTGATCAGAAAACACATAGCTCAGAGCTAACATATCAAACAACAGATTGGTAAATAGGTTAGCTTTAATGGGATGGACTTGCTAGAAATTAATTTGCTTAAGAAAAACCTGTCACTGTTTTTCAGAAAAGCTCAAAAGGTTTAACAACATGGTTCATTAGCACAGAGTCATAAAAGCCCCCCGGATTTTTAAAAGAGATACTCCTACAGAGGCATTACATAGAGAACAGGGAAAGCACAGGAAAGCTATTATCCAGATTCTAATTGGAAGCTGCTTGCTTTTACTTCAAGGTCTGCTTTTGCTTCATCAACTAAAACAAAATCAAGGTGATTAAGAGATTATGTAAACAGAAAGAGAATCAGAAGGAGTGACCATTTGGAACCCGGTGGGCAAAGTAGTTTGTCCCCTAAATAATCTGGGGTATGTAGCAATGAAGTCAAATTCCCTGCCTATTCCACAACATTTTCCAATTCAGGTAGATCTAGAGTATAAAAACTTTTGATGAAGCTCTCTGCCTGTGATGTGCTCCAGTCATAGTCATTCTTAGCTCTTTTCTACAGTCACACTACCTTGGGGCTGGTGCAAAGGGCAGACAGTGCTTTTCCAGTCAACTTTAAGAACAGAAAATGGGTTGTAGATTGGTGAGTGCACATTTGTGTCAGCGTGCTTTATTTGTACTACACCTCTCCTGTGGTTTATCACTAAGACATGACAAATCCTGAGGATTTTAAACTGCTTAAGAGTTAATATTTAAAAAAAGAAATGGTGTTTTGATTCACTATAACAAAACAAATTTTATCACACTTTTAACCAGCAAGATGTATCTTAATGATTTAAAATCAATGTACTCACCACTTTTTTAGCATCTATATTTTGTGACTCACTTGATTTCTGCTTTCCAAGGTTTTTCAAGTAACTATGAACTTCTGAATCAAAACATTCAGCTCCATAAAATGCACTGCTCCAACCAGGACTACAGCCACAAAAGTCAGGTAGATTGGGAGATGCCAGGTAGCTGTTTCCAGCTGTCTTTATCAAGGCCTGTTCCTCTGAACTTGTATTTTCTTCTGCAAAACCTGGACCAGAGCTGTTGCTTCGCAAATACTGTTGCTCTTTTGCTATGGGGATTGTACTCTGCAGAGTCAATTCTTTTTTGGTATTATCCAAAGGTGACTCATCAAAATCCATTTCAGCTAATGATGTTTTTATCATAGGCTCAGCCTTCACATTAAAGTCTGCTTCCCCTTTTCCTAAAGAAGGTGTGTAGGGGAAAAGAAATAATGGTCATTTGCTATAATGCATGCTTTATTGAACTTAAACATGACATATACAAAACACTATCATGAGACTACCTATGTGCTCTAACAGTGGGTTTAGATGCTTATTGTGACTTTACAATTTTTTTCTCAACTACACATTGTAAAATGATAAAGGTTAAAAATATTTAACTATTAAGCAATACTTAATAAATTTCTGAAAAACACAAAATATTTTCTATGCATATGCAACAAGCATTTAAACAACACTGAGAAACTTTAAAACAGAAGTTAAATACGTCAGACCTAAGCACACATTAATAAAATGTTTAGCTTTTGAGTTTTTTTTCCATTTGTAAGTCTTGAAGCTTTTATTCCATTCAGAGGGGGAAGAATACTTGATATAGCCAATAGATGTTAAACTTTCTACTCCTACAGGACTCAATCCATTGAGTCATGATGGGACTTTTTTCAGTTGTAACAACTACTACAGCCTTCAGGGACTGAGGTGACAGTCAAAGGTTGATATAATGCTGACAGGAGCATTTATACCTGCCAGAAGTCTCCCTTTTCACTTGAGCAACCCTCCAGGGCTTAGATATGCCACCTTGGAGTCAAACAAACCTAATTTCCTGGTGCAAAGAAATCACACACTCCACAGTAAAGTCTGGCTCTACATTTGCCATCATTCTGAGCCAAAATGGAAAACTGTAATATTGAACAACACCAGCCAAGTGAGAAATTACAAATTTATGTATTGCTACAAAAATAAACAATATAAGTGTATAAGCCCTTCTGTAAAGCATACATATTTTCACTTTGCTCAAAACAGAGAAGTAACCAAGTTTTAATGCTGAAATTTGGATGACCTGTCTTGAAAAAAAACCTCACACTGGTAAAACAGCAACAAAATAGAATGCACCAAGCCTAGAAAGCATAATGGTTTTGTTATAATATTAGGATTCACCAGTTCCAGCTCAGTTTTAAGTTCAGTTACTGAAAGATAGATATTTTGTAAACTTTCAATCACAAAGCGTGTCAGGAGAAATGTAAAACCCAAACTGAAGAAGCATAAATAAACAATCCACTTATACAGTAGACACTAGAATATCTACTCAAACACAAGAAAACCACACAGCAGTTACCATCCTAAGGGTTTTCAAGATACATCTGTTTAAATAAAAGTAAGTAAAAGTAAATGACATCCCACAAAATAACATTGGGTCATATGTAAGCTTTATATAAAAGACATTTATGTCCTTAAGGCATTGATAACGTTCAGATTCAGTGAAAATGTCTGTAACTGTTAAAGCAGAGTGCTTTCCTGAAGACACATGCAAAGTGTCTCAAAGCTTCTGACACTGATAGATTCCCAGCACTCACAAAGATCTAGAAACATGAAGTCCCTTCTCACCCTCTGTCTGATCACTGCTTGCCAAAAAGCTTTCAGATTTCTTCACATCTTGGAATATATTGTTGCATTTTGCTTCAACTGCCTCAGTTATGCTGAAAATACAAGGAGACTAGGAAAAATTAGTATTTCCTATACTTTTATATTTACATCAGTAAAATGAGATCTTACAAGTGACTCTATCATGCACATAAAAAGCTTCATAGCATTTATCTAATTCCTAAAATTTTCATGTGCAGCTGCAGTTGTTATTTTATGAGAAAAAAATGTTCAAATGGCTATTCAAGCACAGTAAGATAGAGATTTTCTGGTACAGCATTTGGCAAAACTTCAACAGAAGGATCAGAGCACACACAGACAGAAGGCATAACTACAGACTGCAAGTTACTGTAGTGGTTTTTCACTCAGGATTCAACCACTGGATAAAACTGACTCTAAATCATCCCTAGTTAGAATCATAATCATAATCTTAAATCAAATAAGCTAACACTGAAAAACTGCTATAGTCCTTGTCGAACTAATGTTCAGTAAGCAGTGTCTGAGAGATATTTTAAGTCAGGCCTTGCATATGATGTAAAAGCTAGACATGCATTTTTCTCTGGATAATAAATTATGATCTCTCACTGTCAAAAACTACTTTGTAACAAAAGTTCATATACAGGATAACCCTTCATACACCTCAGTAATTCAGCTACAACAGCTCAGGTTTCTCCTACCGTATCACTGAACTTGGGGAACTAAGGGCCTAACTTCCAACCAATTTTCAGTATTTCCTTAAAAATCCCAACTCAAATGGGAAATAGGCCAACATACAAGGTTGGGTATTTGGAGGTCATAATCTCTGAAATTTGCTGTAAGGATTACACACCTTTCAATGATTAAGTTTTTCTAAAATGTACCTACTAAGCTTCTCTGTCAAAACTTGAAATTTGTAGTTCCAAAAATCCCCAAATTAACTTTGACATAAATTGATTACATTTTTCAACAGTATTCAGCAAGATGCTCTTACAAAAGTGTGCTACATTTGGAGGCTGCAGTAAAAGAAGAATTTAAAAATTATTTTTAAGGTAGATACATATGTCATTGAAAATTAAATAAGAAAAATGAGAAATAAATTCAGCTGTTTTTTGTCACTTTACAGGCTACTTACAAAACACTGCCAGGAGGAACACTGAGTCAAATTAAACCAGTTAAACAAAACATTTCTAGCAAAGCTAAATTAATTTCCTCTTTCTTGAATGTGATTAGAACACATGATGTATAAAGAACTAATACCAAACAGAATTAAGAAACTGAACAGTAAGAACAATATACTTCTGATTAAACAGTCTACTTCTAACAGGACTATGAAGCTCTCCATCAACGGTTGTAATTGATCACGACTGGGTTTCCATTATTCAGATGGCCTAAGATGGAGTTACAGAAAAGGGTGGTAGAAAATATTTTTGACTGAACCATTAAGCACTGTTTGTCATGTAAAAAGCTTTGAAAAACCTCAAACTGTGAAATGAACAGTTTACAGGAAACAAGTACGAATACCTAAAGAGAAAACGTAAATTCTTTCCTGCTTCTACAAAGCAGCAATAAAAGCATTAAATTCAAACACAAGAAGGTCAAAGTTGAAAACACCTACCATAAATGTGAAGATCTTCCTCCATTTACTACCTGATAGAGATTCTCCAGTAACTTTTCATCCCAGTAGAGGTCACAAAACTTCTCACAAATTCTATCAGAGAACATACCAAACTTAATTCCCTTTAAGTTTAAAATGAAGTTGCCTTGTTTAAAATAAAAAGAACAGAAACAAAAGAGGGAGAAAAAAATTAATAGCAATATTCTTACAAGTCAATGATTAAAAACATACAGAAGGAAATGCACATACCCATATCAAAGACTTCAGCTCCATTCTCTAAATAACCATCAAATGCAAACTCCTCTTGTATAAGATGAATCACTTCCTGTAGTGAAGTGTCACTTGTTGCATTCTGATGGGGCAGGACTTCATCACTGAAGAAACTGTAACTGTCTCTACTCACTGAAGTAGATGGTGTGTGTTCTTGTTCAGTGAAAAAACTGTCTATGCTGGTAGCACACTCAGTTTCTTGGCAGTCAGTTTGAATAACTGGGCTACCTTTATCAAAGTGGTTCTCTGTATTAGTAGTCTCATCACTCTGCACATTGCAAAGGGAGGCATCATTTCCTGCTTGCATGCTCATTTTACAACTTGCAATAGTACTTGAAAGTAGCACTGGCAAACTGTGATAGCAATCATAAGCAATTCTTGAGTGAAGAGGCTTATTTGGTATTTGCTCTGATACAGCCAAATGTACTGGTACAAATGTCAGAACTCTCTTCTCTGAGTTCTGTTTGAGAATGATGTTATTTATATGAAGAAAATTAGAAGATGTAGGACAAGCTGAAGAGCTGGAGGGATCTTCAGATAAAATGCTCTTCTCTTGTAGAGCATGTGAGGAATCAGATGGTGATGGTAATGTAACTGTAGAAGCAAACACACTGCCTGAGTTTTGCTCTTCTGAAGACATCTGGAATGAGTGGCTTGGAACTTGTAAGTCACACTCAGGTGTTTCAGGAACAGTATCAATAACACCTGTATCCTCAATACCACAGCTTTTGAAGTCTTCTATATACCCTGATTTGTTGTTGTTCATATGTTTTTCTTTCCTTGTCTCTTTTTTGAATTGGTCAGAAACTGGTGTTTGAACCTCTCTGAAAAAAAAACCCAAAGAATTTTTAAAGGAAAATTCAAATAGATTTAACAATGACATTTAATCTTTAACTTATTGTGCTTTAGGATATACTAACTTTGTTATGTTTGCATCTTGTTGCAAAATAATAGGCTTAAAGTGAGTTGCAGGAGAGGTGAATGCAACAGGTAACGTTGCTTTCTCACAATTTAGTGAAATCTGGCATGGCACTGGTCCTTTAACTGCTACAAGTTTACTTTCACTGGTAAAAGGCACAAATCCTAAAAGCAAAAACACAGAAAGATGATCAATATGTAAAATAGAAATGTAAAGTAAGTTAACAATCAATTTATATAGAAAAACAATTGCACATTGGACTGAGAAAATCTTATGTGGAGAAGTGAACTAAAGAATACTAAACCAGAGTAAACATGTCAGAGCCTGACTGCTTACCCAGACTTGATTCTGAAGGGTCCACTGCATATTTCTCATTTTTAAATTCAAAAGAGACACGATCTTGAGCCAAGACTTCTTCCTCAACAGCCTAACAATAAATATTGAAGCCCAAATTGATGTTATTAGCATTTTCTTTTTTCAAATTCTGCTCAGCACATTATTTAAGAAAACCCCAATCCTCATATACACATTGAATATTGCAACAGCCTAGCCATGCCAAGGTGAGGAATTAAGAAAATTACATACAGAATTCTAAGGACTGGTATAACTGTTTAGAAATCTTGGTACCTTGGTACTCAAAGTTTTGAATAAACTCAGTTTCCTGGATTGACTGAATCCTGTGTGCATTATATAAACACATTTGAAACACAACCAGAACCCAACAATTACATATTAATTTCTTCTGTGGGGTGGTAAATAAAAAGAGATATTATGAAATTCTTATTCTTATTATTATGAAATTCTTATTACTTATTCTTTATCCATATAGATTGTGGAGTCAGAGCATCACAATCTGTGGAGTGATCACTCCCACAGAAAGAACTAGGAAAGGGCAATACTTACAGACTACTTGAAAATACCAAAACAAAACAGCCAAAAAAAATCACACCAACAAAACCAAACCCAAAATCCAGCTACACATGCAGGCAACAAAATCTTACTGGAATACCTTTACAGAATTAATTGAAAAAACATACAAAATTGAAGAAAGGTGGCACTCTTACCTTAAAGATGGGTTTACCCAATAATGTCAAAATATTTTTGCTGTTTATATCTTGTTCAAGTAAATAATGACTGCATGTCTAAAAAAAAAATTGTAATTTTCAGTCAGTAAATAAGTTTTCAATCAAGTGAGGTATTCTTGGACAAGGACAAAGTCAAGATAAATAGTCAATTACAAGTAGTCTCAGTTTAGGAAGTCTTATGAACCTTGTCAAAGTCCAAGTACCTTGATAATTTCAATATAAATTAAAAACACGCCCTCTGTGTCCCTAAGGAGGTAACTTTAAAAACAAAACCCGAAGTGACTGGTTATGATTTAATTAGATATCAGCCTATTACAAGTATTAAGTTATTATTTTGATTTAAAAAATACTAAAATGAGACTTTAGACACAACTAAATCTAGTAACCTTAATTGCAGCAGTTAGAGAAGGTCTTTCTTCAGGGTTTTTTCTTGCCATATCCAGAAGCAGTTTTTTAAATTTTCTTGGCAATACTACTTTGTGACTCAGTGGAACACTGTATTTTGCTGCCATCCACAGAATTGCAGCAACGCCATAAACACAGACCTATTGGTATAATGTAAGAGACAAGAAAGATTTAAACAGACTAAAAAAAGCCTCCACTTCAAAAACAATTCCAGCAAATTATCCAAAAATACCCCCCACCCATTTCCTGCCAAAAAAGAAAAAAACTTACTAGAGCTTTTAAAGTACAGATTACATTTGGCTTTTGAGGATGCTGATGAAAATCCCAGCCCACTTCAAAATCTAGTTGTTATGCAGGGCCAAAACCAGCAGCTATTTTTCTACTGTTGGAGTAACAGACATTAATTGTCTTATTCTTTACCTAAGAAAAATGTATTTTAGAACAATTTTAAAGAATTTCTTTCTCATGTAAAAAGATTGCTGCAAGCTTCATAGTTCTACCATAAAATGTGGCCAGCTGCAATTTACTAAAAAAGGTCATGATAATTCAGCAAGTAAGTGGCACACAGTAATTACATACTAGCCAGCACAAGTCATATTTATAGAGAAGATTACACCTGTCAGAAGAATGAGGCACTGCATATTTATTTTAGCAATTATTGTGCTACCTGCAGCTGGAGCAATTGAAGTTGCCCCAGTGAGGGACCTTGAAAAGGACTTGGTCTTTACGAGTTTTCTTGTTTCATTTGAAAAGTTACAATTTTCAGAGTCAGATTTAGTTCACTCAATGCTTAGTTTTTATATGTTAGTATGTACTATAAATGCAATTTTAGGAAATTTAAAGCACCACACTTTACATTGCCTCTGAAAGATATTACAAAAGCCAAATGGACAGAACCCAAAGCATAGTAGACAATAACGTGTTCTCATTAAACAATGTTTTCTGGCACTCTTTTGAGCAAAGTGAACAGCAATGAACAAAAAATAACAAGTAAGTTCACTATAAACAAAATAGTCTTTTGAATAGTTCCATTTGAACCATTGAAGAAAAGCTACTAATAGGTACAAAAACACCTGAAATAGAGAAAGCAGCTCAATCAAAACAAAAATATTTTTCTCCCCCTTAGGTTTAGAACTCCAAGATTACTTTAAATTTATTTAGGAAAAACCTGCCATCCAAACCATCAGAACCTTCAATGAAAGTTCTTTTTAAAGAACAGTTACTGTGACTGACACTACACAGTCTTCATTCCCATACCATAAATTGAACTGAATGTTTATAACTAGAAAGTTATACAGCCATCAGGAAAAAGGAAAAAAAAATCCCATCAGTTTATTCTACATATAATAGAATAATTGTTGTAGAAAAACAAGGAAACAGATTACTTCTGATATTCTGAAGAAAACAAAGCACAAAGACTTAAGGATTATTAATTTCTACTGTCTGGTGAAACTGCTGTATTATATTTCAGGGTTAGTTTAAGTTTCTGAAGCCTCTGAAAAACCTGCACATTGGATCAAAGCAGTTTAAGAAATTTAGGAAAGACATAAAAGTATTTTCTAGTTACAGATAGCTTTACAGGAAATTGAATGTTTTTAGTAGATTTTTATGAATTTTTATTTTCTGATTAATGATTATTATGTCTAATTCCAAAGAACTGATGTGACACAAGACACATATTAGCTAACCTCTTTTTTACATAACAGAAATATACTGTAAATTCTGTTCCTCTGACTTTAAAGATCACTGTGCTACAGTTTGCAATTCAAAAGCATTTGCAGTGGAGACACATTCACCTGCTATTTGACATTTTTATTATATTTGTTCTAAAAGCTTCTTACGGTTTTTATCTATAGAAAAAAGCTCTAAGAAAACTATATTGGAAAATACATCATTCATAATGTTTCCAAATTAAAACATACTGATAATGATATTTTTATCCAGCCTTCTAAGTGTGAATAATGCTTGGGCTTTTGCCAAGATAGTCTAAGTTAATGATCTTACTAGGACCTTCAGAATGTGAAAAAATGACATAAAAGTCTGTTTTACCACTAAAAAACTGAAATTAATTAAGTCTTATGGAAAACCATCGAACAGCACATTTTTGGCAGTTACTCCAATTCTGGAATGAAAAGTTATAGAAGCAATTGATTTAATGAGAGATCAATATATCAAAAAAGCCCCACGGATAATCAAGAAACATTGGGAGAAATAAGAAATATTAACATCATCTTAGAAGAGTTTAGCTCTCTTCTCCAACTAGTAGAGGGAAAAAACTGTCCTTTGATAAAATACAGAGCAATCTACATAACCTACCACATTACCTTCTCAGTATCCACATCCTCTTCTTCAATTTCAGGAGCTAAATAAAATACATCACAAGATTCTAAATGAGAAAAGAAATCAGAAACAAAAGGTAAGATGTTTGCTTCCTTCTCCACATCCTTGAAAAGAAATAAAAGCTGAAGACGCAATCTCTTATTTTACCTTCAGCTGTAGGAGCAGCAAAGAGGATCCTTCCATGGCAGTCAATCAGCACAGACTCCAAACATAAGACCACTGCAAAAAAACCCAAAAACAACAAAAGGGCAAGGCATAATAAGTATCTGTTCTTGTAGCTATTTAAAACGAATAAAAATAAATAATTTGTTTAACAAAGACTTTACAGTGCCAGAAATTACCCTAAAATAAATTATGCTTTAAATAAGATTTATGCTAGAACAGACACGAGTCAATAAAGAGACAATAGCTGTGCAATTACTCAAAGCAATTTCTGCAGAACAAAGACAAGAAACTGGAAGTTTATTCTTTTTATACCCAGCACTGAAAAGGAAGGTCAAGAAAAAAACAAATCAAAAAAAAAAAAATACAATAGGTAGATCTACTCTAGTCTTCTCACTAGGTACCAATAAAAGATGGTCAATTTATCTAAGAATTTAAGTCTCCTCTTCTCCTCCTTCAACCCCACAAAAATAGAGGGTGATCATCTGGAGAAAGCTGACACACACGTGGCCAGATCCAAAACTCCTCTAGGTGCAACAGGATGTGAAGTCCAGTTTTTCACAAATAGTTATAATCACACTTTCTTAGTGAAGAAATGTTACATAAGTCAGTATTTGCAAGGCCACGAAATTTTTCATTGTTAAAAAAGAAATAACAGACTTCTAAAATTATTTTAAATGATCTAAGGTCTTCAGGAACTTAACATTAAGGTAATGAGATCACGTAATATAAATATGGTGTTGAAAGTCTTGTGGCAAAACTGTGTCTATCTGTTTGCTAACTTCAAAGGAGATTTTAATTTAATGTGTTTTAATATATTAAGCCAACTGGCTAGTAAGTAGTCCTCTTGCAGTCCAACTATAGTCCTCTATTTCTAGACTAACATCAAATACACCATTTTCTTGTTAAAAAAAAGTTCTGGAAGCATAGATTCTTAAATTGAACAAGAGATTAAAACATTAAATGCATTAATTATGAAATAAAATATTAAAGTTGTCTAAGAGACACACAAATATTAATTTATTAATAATTAATTGAAGCAGTCTAAGAGAAAAAAAAGAAAGAAAAGGAAAGAAAAAAAGAAAGAAAAAAAGAAGTAAGAAAAAATTTGTACAAACCACATCTAAAATTAAATTACTATGCTTAACATAAAGGCTTGTCTACTACCTTCAATAATATTTAAGTTGGACCTGAAGTATATGCCTGGAAAAGCAAAGCTTTCCCAAATGAGAACCTTTGCTGCTTACTTCTGCAGAGGGAGCTTCACACTCGTCTGTCTTTGTCAGCAGTAAATGCCCCTTGCCCTGCCCACACAAACCAGATCTCAGCTTGGTCAGTGCAACATAAGAATCCTCACCTGGGCTCCCTGAATCACCCACCAGCAACATGTAAGCAACATCCTCTGATAAGAGGAGAGGAATTAAGACTCAGTGGAGGTTACAAACAACTTCTGTAGCAGAGTTGAACTAACAAATACGTAAAGAGGCTAGCCTTGGGATGTTTTCTTAACCAGGTAATTCCTGCTTAGGATAATGAAAAAGGTGTAATCAAGGAAGGATTTGGAGAAAAAGGCTATGTGACTAAATAAAACATAATCCAGCTTCATAACCATGGCTTATCAGCTACCAGTCTCACTATACCATTGTCAAGACAAAGGATTTTTTACAAAATGTATTCAAAATACATATCAGCTTCACCTTCAGTAAGTATTATTCAAAAGGAGTGTTGAGAGAACTTTTTATGTGTGTGTGGGCAACAAAGTAGTAACACCACTATAAACCTTTCCACAATGCACCACTCCCATCAGAACAGGCAGAGAATCCTCTTGCAGAAACAATCTAAATCTGAAACTTCAATATTCAACTTCAAGGTAGCTTTTTTTTTGTCAAATACATAATTTTTAAGTAAAATATTTTCCATTTGGTGGTTTGTATCATTATGTTCCCTTCTACAGCCTATATAAGGTTCAGATGACAGCTTTTAGTATTTTTAAGACATGCATTCTCAAGAGAGCAGTAACAGAGGCTGGCTAAGAATATTACTTTAGAATCCTAGCCATTATGCGCAGTTATCTGAAACCTTCAGAAACATAAGGAACATGCTATGAGGTTGAAATAATCCTTCTGTTACAAGGTATATTAAATACTTCGTCTTATTTTCCAGAATTCTTAAAATGTTCAGAATCTTCATTTATGCCTTATTTACTTTTAAGCAGTTTTATATAATAGAAATAAAATAACTGAAGCTGAAATCCAAAGAGATTCAGTAAGTTTTCTGTACATTACTATCCAGTTGTTTATATTCACTTAAAGGCTTCAACTCATCCCTGACCATACTCCCAAAAGCAAGTTTTTTTTTAAATCAAGGAAAAGAAAGGGTGGTGGTGGTAGAAACTTCTGCTCTGTTTATCAGAACTGCTATAGTTTTATCATTAGTATAAGCTAAACCATCATTCAGAATGTCCATGGAAATCTAGGATGGCCTTCTGAGTCGCATACAGCATATTCCAATTTTGTCAAAGGACAGTTCCCTCTTCCTCTCTCAGAAGTTTATTTCTGATAATTTGTCTATAAACTGAACCATAGGGGATGTGGAAGGACTAACTCCATGACAAGATCCTGGGTACTTTAAAATGACAAAGCCCTGTACTGTAGAAAATAGGTCAGGAATCATTTGTCACAAAGAAATCCAGGCAAAAGAGGAAGTTTTTTGTTTACACACACACACTCACACACACACACATATATATATATATATACCTGAAGCACTGGATATGTGTGCGTGAAACTTATTTCCTCCTACTTGATACAAGTCACAAGTGTTTTTCTTAAAATTTGAAGTACAGATTCTCCATTCCCATAAAGTCTAAAATTTGTTTCACTGCTTGAAGTCAAAGATTAATTTCTGCTGCAAAAACCATCAAGATTCAGAATAAAAAAACCCCAAAACACCTATATATGAAAGAAAACTCCAAATTGGGTTTTGTCACAATTTAAGGGAATCAAAATAGAAATATCTGCACGCAAAATGAGAGCCAAGAGCCTTTCAATCAACAGAATAAAAGAAATATTAACACAGTGAACATAAATAACTAGGCAAAATACTTCATGATAATTAAGACTATACCTGGGTAATCTATGCAAGTCTGCAGAGTACATAAACACTCATGACATAATGCCCAGAGTTCATAGTCTTTCAGGGGCCTACCATACCAGGACAACAGCAGTTTTAGAGAGATCCACTGAAAAAAACAGTGAGGATGCAGAAAATTATAAAAATTATCACAAATGAAAAACATTTACTAATGCAATAGAAAAGTAAATCCTAATAAAAAAAATACTAAACTTAAAAAGTAACAAGAAAATATATTTATTGCACTTACCAGTAATTAGTTAATATTATTTATTAAAAAAGCATGACACAGTCAGCTAACTATATATAAATAAAGTATAAATGAATTAATTGTTTCTTAATTCCTTTGGGAAAAGTCAGCTGTCTGGAAGGTCTTTCTTACCATACTAAGAAAAGACTCTTAGAATGTCCATTGTGTAATAGACATATTTTATGATGAACTGAAACATAATTACATAATTATAGGGACAACACCTAGACTGAAAAACATAAATTCAAATGATTGCCATCAACAAAACAATCCCACATTCAAAACCTGATTTACCCTGCCAGTTGCATTACTGTCTTACCTTAAAGATTTCATCAACATTTCTTGTTCTTCTGTGAAAGATGTTAACAATATTGACAGAATTAATGACAGGTTTATTTGAAATCCCAGCATGTTGTTTTGTATTTAATCACTGGCTGCTCAATTTGTAGTAACAGCATTTGTTTTTCTGACTACCAATTAAGTTTTTGATATCTGGCATAATACCTTAATGTGACAAAGATACTGCTCCATGGAAACTTACTGTTCTTCAGACACACACTTTACATTCTGTGATTTTATATTTTTGGGGGGTGGTGTGTGTCTGTGTGAATGTAAGAATTGGAGATTTACAGTAGTGCACACACACCTCCCTGATCAAACCATGCTAATGGAAAAGCTCATCTCTAGTAGCGGCTCTTGACATCAGCTGCACTTCACGATCTCTGTTCGTCTACCAAAGGAACTCTTAAGAAGTTCACTGTAGGCAGAAACCTCTGAGTGAGAGAAGTGTTTTTTTAAAAAAAAGAGCACAGCACATTTTCTCTTACATATGCAGTCCTGAATGAGTCAATTTCAGGCCATGTCAGGGAAAAGAATTACCAGAAGTAATTCAGAATTAACTCAGGAAAAAAAAACCCATTTCACCCTCCTAAAAAACCCCCAAAGAAACAAAAATCAATCAAATAAAAAATGAACCAAACCAACCCAAAAAAACCTAAACCAAAAATTGAAGCACAGGAGACAAACAAAACCTTCTCTGAACTGTTTTTTTGCTTCTACAGACACCTTAGTATCCCAATCAGTATTTACAAAATCTTCCTAGACTAAGGGTCTCTCCCACACACAACGGCACTATATCACTAACTTTGACAAATCAGCCTCTGCATTGTCATTTACTAAAGTCAATTTTTCATCCTTTTCCTGAGATGCTCTTTGGATTTCATCATGAGATACATAATCAGCTGACTACTGCATTGAATTTCATAAAGCTCAACAAACAGAAATAGCTTCAGTGCAATCTATGGAGAAAAGGAGGACATTAATTTCTGTAGCTGAAACTTTGTTAATAATTTGAACCAGAAGACCTTCTCAAAGAACACAGTACTTTAGGTTCATATTGTTTAAATATTCTTTGAAAGTGAACAAGATAAATTACATTTTTTAAAAACAAAATATATCAGGAAATGCACCTTTTGATTTACTGAAAATGTTTCATATTCTGCCTACCTCCAACAGATAAAAATTGGTGCTATTATTCTTCTATCCTACATTATGGCACATTGCAAAAATTAGTAACTTCAGCATAGACAGATTTGAAGCCAGGTGATAAGATTCAGTTTCTTTCTCCAATTTTGCTATCACCAGCACCCTGGAGTGCAAAATCCTTTCATCCATGTGTTCTTTTACTGTATCTAGAAAAGTAAGCTCTTGAACAGTCCGATAAAAAGCCATCAATCACACAGCAGGAAGGAAAAGGATAGATAGTCAAAAGAATGAATTAGTCTAGAAAGCATATAGGATAGAGCTTCATACTGTTGATAGATTACTATCCCCGAGCAGCACTGTTTCCCCCTCCAGAGCACTGTGGTTCTCATGTGCCTCAAGTGTCTTTGCTCACAGACACTTTACAAAGAAAGGAGCACTCAAACCTTCAATTTAACCCTGCACAGCTGACATGGGTGAAGAGAAACCAGAAGAGAAATTTCAGACTGACTAAAACTTTAAGAAGGCTTTGGGATTTAGGAATTTTCTTTAAGTAAGTACACACTAGTGCCACGTTTCTCTGTGAGAGAATCTCTCCTCTTGAAGTTTATGTCTTTAAAGGCTCTAAAAGCTGCAGCAAAGAAAGACTGACTTACTTTACTGCATATACAAATCACCTTTCACTTCAGGAGAAGGTGATGAATGGCTAGCCAGGGAAAGAAGAATCTTCCAGTGAACTGGAGACTGAAGTTTGTTGTACTGCAGAAAGCTGCAAAGTATTTCTCATCACCTCTGAGATATCCAAGATCTTTAGGTGAAGAAAGAAATTATAGAAAGAAATTCAGGCGTGGCAGGAGAGTAGGAATAAATCCTAAGAGCAGTAAAAAAAGTTTATGATAAGACAGAAGTGTCAATGATAGATTAGAAAACAGAGGATGAAGAGGCACCAGAAAAACACTATTTTGGAAGAAAAAGGTATGTAGGGAAAGCAAATCTTAGCATAAATGAGAATCAGTGCCATCTATGGGATGGCCAAAACAAACTGAGTCAGGAAAAAGAAGGATGCAGTCTGGTTACAGTTTGGTGAACTTTATTTAAATGCATATACTCATTGTTTCTCTGGCAATCATTCTAAAGAAATGAGAAACCTCAAATATAATATTGTTAGCTGGTATTTGTTTGCTAGTTGGTCTTTTGTCATGCTAATAAATACCTGCACTGCTATTGTCTCTTACTATAATTCATGTCTCCCCTCACCTTCACCATTATCAGTTTTACTCCTCAAAGAAACACCTGAGAAGGTCATTCTTCTAGTGTCCTAATTATTCCAAATCCCCACCTTCCTCCACCAGAAAGAGAAATGTGGAAGACTTCAGATGAAAACTGAGGGTTCAGACTTGCTGGGGACTTCTAACTGGTGCTTCTAACACCTTGCAGAATTACCCCCTGTAGTGAAGGTACACGACAAGACATGTTTCATCACACATTTGCCTTTGTGGTGTAAAATGCATGCAGTTTGGTTCAAACAGTTTTCAAAGGAAAGAGAATACACTTCTCAACCTATGGTTTTGAGGCAACTGTTTAAGGATTGAGGCTTAAATAAAAAAGGTATTTAATGCAATGCTCCTGGTACCTCACCTCTGAGATATTTTAACACGATGCACGTTCTAACTCCACTGGACCTTGTTTTAGTAAATATGTAAGTGTAAAACTCCTTAAATAGGAATGTCTCAGGTTTGGCTGTTTTTGTTTTTAACATGCAAGTCTCTGATTCATGGCTATTACTATTTCCTAAAACTCAAAAATAAAATTCCCATGCAAACACCAAGGAAAAAAAAAACCTGAAGCACTGGAAAATGTATGATTAAGTGCCCTCAGTCAAACAATCTGTAGCATGCATTGTTACTTATCTATCTATTCACATATTTTAGCAAAGCAGGCTCAAGACAACTCTTCAGCATTTATAAGTCCACGTCATTTAAACCATTAACATTATTTTAATAATACTATTAAACATTCATTAATATATTATCATCACTGCACCAAAGAGGAAACAAAATTATCATCTAATGTCTCTTTCCAAATTTTTAATGTTCTAAACCAGACCTTTTCATAACAGAAATTACATTACCCATTTTTTAAAGAAAGAAAATGTTTTCACAGCATTGAAATTTTGTCAGAAAATATAAAAAAGCCAAATGAGCCATTATTGCCTACATCTATATCCTGGTGCCATTTTGGTTTATGCCCAAAGATTGCATTTTAAACCTTACTTGTAGGAAAAGTGATGGGTTTTTTGCATTGCTGCAAAGATCGTTTAACAGATCTACTTAATTGTTGGTACCAGAATTGTAACCCCCAAATTTAGTAAAGCATTCCAACTATGAAAAATCTATTTTATGAACATAATGCTGGCATGTTTTAAATAGCCGAAGCAAGATTTTCATCATTCTTTTCTTAGTAAGTATCTTTCTGGAAACTGACAACTTTTCTTTCCTTCATGTTATTTCCCCAGTGTTAAAGTGTCAACCTCTAGCTACATGGCTTTTCACTTCTCTCATGCTTGACAGGGTATGAATGACCAACAGAAAACAAACTTGCATTTGCCAGGTTTCCATTAACCCTTCCCAAGTAAAGGCCATAGCATTTAAATCACAGAGAAACATTTAAAAGGATTAGAGATGAGACACACCTGATTGGAATGAAACTGGTTAGAGAAATAAAAGATCCCCACTCAAACTTGAAGTGAAAAATATTTATTTATGGCATGCAAAACTATAAAAATTACTAGGAAAACCCTCACAAGATACATTGCAGTAGCCAGACAAAAGCAAGCAAGTATTTTTAGTAATGCTTACTAGCAGTAAAGCACACAACAATAAGAAGCAGTGTTTGAGTATTAGAAAAATATTGTCCACTGGAGAAGTACTGACAGGCAAGAAAAACTGTCTGTTCTCCAGAGTAGACAAGGTTGATCTTCAACCGGATGGGGCTGGTATTGCACCTTCTCTAAACAACATGAAATATTGAAAGGAATGATGAAGACACCATTCTCTACTTGCTGCAATCATGCCAATCTGTTACAGAGAACTCAGAAAATGGCAGCACTGCAAATACTCTGAGGTGTTTTCTATTTACCCCACAAGGCAGAAATCACATTAGTTGGGGCTTCACACTTCTTGTGCTTTTGCAGTAAATGAACAAATCCAGCCTCAAGCTTTCTTAAAAAAAAAACCAAAAGGGTATTTGGTAAAATACCGGCTAATGGGAACCTGAGGGAGAGACAACAGTTATACTTTTTTCATGTAAGGGACAGCACAGTGTGACTTTTTTTTTTTTTCAGTTGTCAGGAGGTAACACAGAGGCAAAAACTGCTACATTTTGGAAGCCTGAGGAAAAAAATCTTTTTTCCAAAAGAAAAAATGAAGCTGAAAACATTAATCCACTGCATTTCCCTACGAAGACTCACAATAAAGTCTGCTATACAGCAGTTCAATGACTACTAACTATGAATGACCTTCCTTCAGAAAACACAGGATTACAAGGCTAGAAATTCAGCATTTCAGGAAGCCATTTCAGAAGTCTAGGTGTTAATATACTTAAAGGGTTTTTTTTCTCCCTACAGCAGTTAAATAATCAAAGAACATTTTCTTATATTTGTGGGTTTTTTTTGTTTAAGACCAAAAAGATTTTTCTAAATAGCACATTTTTCTGTGGCAGGACCTGAACATTTTCTGGAATCATTTACTAAAAAAGAGAATGTAGAGCGTGAGTCTATCAAGCATTTCTTCTTTGAAAAGACAGCCATAAACCTCTGATATAATAAAGAACCACTACCCTGCTGTCTTCATTTCAGATGCTATGTATTACAACACTGCTTATTAGGGTAGCTGGAAAAAGAGTTACCTTTTCTCATTCACAGTGATTGTCCTGTGAGTTCAGTGGGAGCAGGATAACCTCACTGTTAGTAAGAGCCTACTTGTTTGCAAGAATGAAATTCTGTTTAGGCTGAAAGGACACTTTATTTAAATCGATGATGAAATATTTGAAGAAAAAGAAGACTTTAGAAGAATAGCAGAATAAGATGAAAATGTGTTTTGGTTTACTTTTCTGTGTGTCAGTCTCAAGTGCTGCTGCAAAAAAGGAAATAAGATTTGTTACAGCTTTTAATTCCATGGAAGAATTTTGGAAAACTATAATTGTGGGGCAGATTATTTTCTTAAAACTACCTTCATGCATCCAGACTTAAACTTTTGCCTTAGTAATCTGGTAAGGACAGAATATAGGTCTAATTTCAACATTTTTTTCACCTTAAGAAAGAACTCCTATCACTACACTCAACTTCTGTTCATAAATGATGGCAGAAAAAGGATGTGTGTACAATAAATGGATTCTTTCTCAGAGTCTGAAGAATGCACTTGCAGGGTTTAAAACCTAACTAAAGGATTCAATATGTATACAGTGAATAACACCCTCTGAAGGCAAAACCATGCCACGTGGTACCTATCCACATTTACCATCCTCCTGAACTATGAATTTAATAAGCACACCTGTTGAGGGAGAAGTGACAGGAAAGGGATAAAGGGACATTCTTCAATTTGCTCTAGTTTTTGAGCTACAATGAACCAAAGGCTCTACACATCTGATAATTCTAGGTTAGTGTTTCAAAGGAGGTGTTTGAGCAAGGTGAAAAGAGGGATGGACAAAGACTGAATATAACCCTAAGTGCTGTGCTGTGGGATGGCTGGAAGATGGGCTGGTAGGCAAGAACAAGGCTGACTTGCCAGTAGACAAGCAAGGAAAAAATCCAACATCTTCATCTAAGAATAATTTCTGGAAACAAAATGTGTGAAGTCTGTGCTGCTCATTTTTATCCTGCCGTAACAAAGCTGGAGAAGGACAAACAACCCCGCAGTTTTAGCCAGCAGCTCTCCTACCACAGGAATTGTTTACACCTCTGAGTGTGGCACAAAAGAAAACCATCTAGTCAGAGACCAAACTTGTCCACCCTGAGATATGTAATTTGAGCAGAGACCATATTACAATTATCTATCGACAAACTCTGGTAGATTCTCCCTCTGTTACTTGGCTATTTATAAAGACTTAATGCATGAGACAACATATCCATCATATTGTGCACATATTTAAATTCTACAGTGAAACATACATAACAAACAGAGACAGCAATTTAAGAACACAGAATGAATATAGCATATGTACAATTTCCAAAAACTTAAAAGTACATGGAAGATTAAAAAAAATATGGACTCTATCCCCCTGAAGCTGATGGGATATTGCCACTGATTTCAGTGAGGACAGGTTTACAGTCAGGAAATCTGCAATGGTCATAAGCACCTGGGAGGCTCACTGCAAGGTAGTGAAATTTATGCATTGACAGTAACATAAAGAGTTAAAAATACATGTATGCTTTGGTTGTCCTCTTACAAATGCAATCAGCTATTATGGAATGATGCTCTAACACACCAGCGAGTAGACTCCATTTGTAAAAAAAAAAAAAATTAAAAATTAAGTTGATTCTGCAACAGCATAAATTCCACTGTAGCACTTTACTTTTTAATTTAAGAAGAAAAAAGGATCACCATGTTTCCAATATTAACTCTTAAAGTGTGCAGACTAGCAAAATTCCATTTTCTGGGATGCTAAAGTGGACAAGGGGGAAAGAAATCACACAGTATTTAAGTCATCTCATCTCCACATAAGTGACTACAGCAACTATATAATGAAGATTTTATTTTTACTACCTGCTCATTACTTTTGATTTCTGAACCTCTGCCTCCACAAAGATTATCTTCATTATTGTTTGCACTCATCACATCGTTGCTTAATTCTGGTGGCCTAATTAGGTTTGATCCATGTCTGTTCCCACTGGGTTTCGTTGTTAATACTGAATCCATCTTGTTAAAATGTGGTACATAATTTTCATTTGACCCTTGAAAAGTTTCAGAACAGTCTTCCAATACCATGTAGTTGTCTAGCATTTTTGCTCCAGCAATTGACTGATTTGGGCCTTTCAGCATATCAGCTGGTTTTAGCACTTCAGAGGCAGCACCAGAAGAGTCTTCTTTGTGATCAAATGAAGAAAAACCTATCTTTTTCCCACTGATAAGTGGCATATGCTCTTCTAGATTCAAGCCCGACACTTGTGTGCATACACATGGTGCTTCTAAATGATGATCATCAACTTGGTGATTCTTTGATCCTATTTCTGGTGGACTACTGTCAGCAAACGAATTGAGATTCCCCTTTGAAAAAGCAACCTCATTATTATTGTCTAGAGGTAGTGACTCTTGTGTTACAAAGTGATTTTTCCTATCTAGTGGTACACTGTTGGTTACCGAAGTAAAAAAGTTATTTGTATCTGCAAGTTCGAGGGATAGCTTTGGAAAGGTTTTCATTTTTCTCAAAGAACCTTTCTTAAAAAGGCAATCTCTCTCCAGGTCAATAACACAGGATTTTATATCCAAAGCAACACTAGCAAAACTGTCAGTGTACACTGTGTGTTTGTCCTCTTCTTTGCTCTTTTCAGTTTGAGTTGCAAGTTGTGAATGTTGAGTTTTCTCATTATTCAGATCAATTTGCATTTCCTTTAAACCACTTTCTCTGCCAGTCACCATGGTAACTACAGAAGAGTTGTTATGACAGGCAGTCGTCACCTCTTCCACTGCAGACGAATCACCTGCAATGTTGTTTTTCTCATTTGAATATAATTTAGATCCCAAACTCCTCTGACACATTCTTCCCTTCCACATGTTATCACAGACATCTAGATACAAAAACAGATGCTTATATTAAATGTCTATTAAACCTCCTAATCACTTTTTGTAAATCTTTATATTGCCTTTTCTGCCATTGTTGTTACATATCTTTAGTATGTTACACAAATTTCTCAATTTCTGAACAAATCACTTTGAATCATAAGGGACACTCCAAACATATTATGTTAATTAAGAGTTGTGTGTCCCTGTTTCCCCATCACCAATCTACAACTATTTAATAATGATTTGTTGTAATCTACAAAGGAACCTATAACAGGACATCACACAAACAGTCTTTGAAAAATCATTAGATATGTCAGGCAATCTAAAGTTTTAGACTAAATACATTTTACTGTTACCTTGAGAAGCACCAAATGATTCAATTGAAAGAACTCTTCTTCCAACAGCAGACAAGCTTCGACAAATATTACTTGATGAAGCAATCTTCATTTTTTCTTCACATAATGACAAAATGCTCTAGAGAAAAATAATATTAAATACTTATTTAATAATGAATAGATTTGTGAATTTTGACTAACATGAATGATGTTAACTCCCACAGTACATCTGAATTTGTATGATGCTACAGTGGAGATCTTTCTTCTCCAATTCTTTATACTGCGTGTTTCTATTATGTGGTTAAATTAATTTCTTGTTTTTACCATGGGCTATTATGAAGCCATTTAACACAATTCAAGTTTTAGCCTACAGTTAGAACATCAAGAACAACTGATAAAAATTATCTTAAATGTTATCCTTTATGAATAACATACTGAAAATGCAAAAGCTAGAGTGCTGATTACTTTTTTAAACAGCCAGTGCTTAGCTTGAATTCAGCGACACAGACAGGATGATTAATGTTTTTATTACTGAAATTACATTAAAATTAAACGCTGAATCTTTTTAAAACTGCAAAATACAATTATTTAAAAAGCAATATTCCCAGTTAGAAAAAGCAATCATTATCAGGTCACAAAAAGTAACCGTACTTCATATCTCTAATCTGCAGCCTGGGCACCATTTGGTGGCATTAGCATTGGTCTCACACATAATTAACTACAGATATTCACACATTTAAAAACCTGCCCCTTTGGGCAGGACGTAGAAGAGAGCTGCCTTTCCAAATGCATCCCACCATTTCCTCAGTAACTATTCCAAGATAAACACTGGTGAGACCTCATACAGCCCTTAGGAGATGCTCTCACTTCCCCATTCAGCAGTTCCCGCTCAACTGCTCCTCTGCTGTTGTGCATGGAAAGAAGAAATTGACCCTCCTGGCTCACATAGGGGATTGAGGAAGGGCAGGAAAAAGGGAGACAGGTATCCAGCTGTGCTGAAGTCTAGCAAAATACCTAGAAAAGTCTAGGGGATTCCCCTCCAAATAGCTCCCACAACTCTGTTCACCCAGGAAAGTGTCCAGTGAAAAAAGAACAGAAAGAACATACTCACAACGTGACCCTTATATATTACCCAAGGCCAATTATTTTTGGGATGATTTCAATAGTCAGCAACAGCTTTCAGGGTCTACAGAGCACTCAGAGATGAGAGAGTGCTATACAATCCCACCTCTGACAACTTAACAGTAAATGAATAGAAATAGAGCAGCTGACCAAGCAGGCTCCATATTAGTTATGGCCTTCTGCCCGGGCAGTCCTCAGTCAGGGAGCTAATATTTTGACTTTATAAAAATGAAAAATGAATCTGTTAATTCTTCTGTTGCAGCACTCTTTCTGCAAAGTATTGATCATAGGTGCTATAACATTTAGAATATACATTATCAGTTCAGGAAAATTAAACATCCATGCCCTCCCCACCCCACTGCCCCCATCACCCCCTCCCGCAAAAAAAAAAAAAAAAAAAAAAAAAAAAAAAAAAAAAAAAAAAAAAAAAAAAAACCCAACTTTTTGAAAAAAAAAAAAAAAAAACATGCTATAACATTTAGAATATACATTATCAGTTCAGGAAAATTAAACATCCATGCCCTCCCCACCCCACTCCCCCCCTCCCCCCCCCCCCCCAAAAAAAAAAAAAAAAAAAAAAAAAAAAAAAAAAAAAAAAAAAAAAAAAAAAAAACCAAAAAACAAAACCAAAAAAAAACGATCGCACTATTCTGAAGTAGAAGAACTGAATCCAAGAAAAGTCACATTGCACAACTGTTATTCTCTGGTTACATTCTCATAGTCTGCAAAAACATTGAACTTTTGCACACTAATGTCAAATAACTCCATTAGGTAACCAACATTTAGAACGTAAATTCTTTCAAAACATCATGAAAAATCGTATATAGTTTCAAATTCTTTCTAAAAGCTAAAGGTAAAATAAGAGGCTAAATGGATTAAAATACAAAATCCAATAAAGATATCAAAGCCTTTATATATTTACAGAAAAACTAAAAAAAGTTAGTAGTAATGGTTTGAACATGCCAAGGAACAGAGGCTTCCTGGGGCAGGGTCCCTATACCCCCTTCTTAAATGCAAGCCAATTATCACACAGATTTCACAGCATAATGCCTGTGCTTTTATTTCTAATTACACTCTGTCTCCCTGTAAACCAAATATTAAATGGGAAGAAAACAGTCAATGAGAAAATTTAGATACATCAGTGTCTTCACGCAATCATCTTAAAAATTCAAGCACTGTTGAACATCTACATCTACTTTCCAGGTTTGTATATGCGTTAGAGTGGGAAAAAGGATGAATTTCTGCAGAGTTGGGGAAGACCTCGGCTTTCCTGCAAAACCTGAGCACATTGCTTATCAAGACCATCTTCATAATTACAGAGATTAATGAGATAAATAGAGATTAATGAGCACACATACAGAAATATTAGTATCACCTTTTTAAAACAAGAAAGTATATAGGGCTGTTTTACCTCAATATCTGGCCTATTTTCAGGATTCTCTTCTTGCATTTGTTCCAGTAGAGTGTGCAGATCTTGTCCAAATTCTGATTCTGTCTCAGGTTCTACAATATATTCTATTGCTGCTTTCAGTGTTGCACCCAAAGAATAGATGTGTGCCTGCATGAATTTAAAAAAAAGACATTAAATATACTACCAATTCTTTCCCTCTTGCCACAACAGCTTCAAGATCATACAAGCTTAAACTATTTTCAAATTTAAGGTAACAGTTTCCCGGAAAGGTGGTTTAATTTAAACATGATGAACAAAACCAGCTTCAGACTTGCTTTGGGGAAGCATATATACTTGCTGCAAACAAAAAAAAATCTTGTGGGGTACAATTATAACTCTTTTTTCCCCTCATCAGTAACCAGTATTACAAGTATTACACCAGACTACAATTAAATATAAAACTGAGAACCCTGTGTTTGTGTAATTATTGTTTGAGTTAGAAGCATGCTAAAAAGTTTGATTGAAGTGACATTCCTCTTAGCAGGGAAACAAAATATTTATTTAAAAAAACCCTTTTCTATATAGCAATATTTTATGAGCGCTATCAAGCATAAAGGAGCAGAGAAAATACAGCATAATACCACTTGTCACTGAAGATACTTATGAAAGAGATTTTTAAAATACTCCATGTTTTCCACCTCTGCTTCTCTCAAAGCCCACATCCTCGTGATGGATTAGGGTTAGGTGAACCAGCAACTTTTTAAAATCTAGTGCTAATGCAGTAGATTTCCCACACAACACAGCCACATCTTAATTTTAGAAGTATCTTGCTTCTTGGGGAAAAAACAAAAAAGAAAAAAAAACCAAAACATTTTCAGATCTGCTTGAGCAATGGTATTTTATCCATAATGGCCTGTATTTTATATTCCATTCATAGAACATATTTCCAAATTGCGTAAAATTTATAAGCAAATATAAATTCAAGTTTGGATAAACATTTCAGTGGTGATGCAGCACAGCCAGGAATTCAAATGTACTGAACATTGCCCTCTGAGGTTTACAGATACATACACAAATAAAATAATGACTGTAGTTGTACATTAAATTGGTTTTAATGCCTTTGCTACATACTTAACTATCTCTTATCTTAGAAAGAAGACTGACTTGAAGGTCAAAAGTAATTTTCTTCCTCCACCCACTCCTAACTTTATCATTAAGGTGTGTTTTTGTCTCTAAATTGTATGAATTATACTTTTTACACAGGTATGCTTTTAGATTTACTTTTTAGTGAGGCAGGACATCTCCATGAAGGGAAGTGTAACACCACCTATTAGGAAGAGCTGTGTACGTGAGACTGGAGAATTCCTCTCTTCCCCTCTCCCCTCCATGCCATCCCCAAACCAAGAACACATAAACCAGTGCTGGTTGCTGGCTCCAAAGCTTTGATTTATTTTTGGGACACATCAAGATTAGGACAAGCGTCAGAAAAGCAGACTAGATGCCATCTGATCTAGATAGAAAAGATTTTTTTTTTCCAAAGCAGTAATTTCAGTCTCAAGTTCCTCACTGTTACACAGCTTCATCATTAAACAGAAAAGGTAACTGAAGAGTTTTGAGAACCTCAGAGGAACTAAGACAGGAACTGTTATGATTTTTATTTTGATTTAGCAGAAGAATGAAGGCTGTTCATCCATTCCAAAAGTAAGGGCTGCTTTACCCACGGCCCTGGGCCCTGTGCCACATAAACTACTATAACCCACTCAGTAGCAGCAGCCCTACTGAACCACACCCTTGACAGACAAGAATGATTTTTTTTTTCTAAGACGAAACAGACCATGTTGGTAAAAGGATACAAAACTATGAAGCCTGAGCAAATAGCCCATTAAAAAGGTGATGGGAAAAAACTGAAGTAAGATCTTTTTTTCCCAACACACAAAAAGTTGCTCTGTTAAGGTACTTCCCTTCCTCTGACATGCAGGAAAACTAGTTTTGCAGATGGCCATTTTAAGCATCATAATTAGTAACTAATTTCTGTGTTAAAACATTTACAGGGAATGTGGACACCTTTTTCAACTTGAAACTTTCTTCCATGTAAATCCCTCTTTTACCTTTCCCTTCTTCCAGCTCCCCAAACACCACCACCATGCCCACAAGTAAAACGGGAAAAAAAACCCCAGCTATCAAATCAACTTCCCGAGCTGGCAGTAAACAAGGGTAATATTTAAGGTAATCCAACGTAACTTTGTGTCCTAACAGAGCAATGAGAAAATGCGCTTCTGATCATCCACTAGGTGGGGCATTCCCCAAGTTAATGCATCAAAAAGCTTCCACTTAACTGCACAGCTGGGCTTAGGAAGAAAATTTCACTTCCTGGGAAAGAAGATGTGTATATGCAATAAATAAAGCAAATTCTTAAGTATAAAATACCTAATGCTTACTAGAAGTGACTGCTCACAATGAAAATAATTTCACAAGCAAGCTAAAGAGTTTTTAGTCTGCTCTACGGAAAGTAACAAATAAGAAAGGGTGGCAAAAAACTTTTCTTCTGGGACTGAATTGGCCGTTAGGAATTTTATTAAATAATTAGGAGGGCTTTTTCTCCTCATTTTCTGAAAAAAAACCCAAACAGAACCACTACCACAAAAAGAAACAAAACCAAAATCCAACATAACACTCCTCCCAAGAAAACCCCTCACACCCACTTGTTTTAAATGTAGATAAGGAGAAAAGCTTTTTGAATTGCAAGCATTTTTCATTACAGGGTAATAATTTAATAGCTGATAAATAGCATGCATTTCTAGAGAGATCCAAAGGAAATACCAAACAAACCCAAAGCAATCTGTTCAAAATTCCTAAGGAGGCTCAGGAGTTAAAGACTAAATGCCACTTGTTAGAAAAATATATAGACCATGCCAGCAAGACTGCACCACAGTGCCAGCTTCAAAAAGGATGGGAGAACAGAGAGGAAGTCATATTAGGAAACCAGCTCTCCAGATTTGGTCCTAGACAGTACATATCCTCTTAGCCCAAAGCCAGCAAACATAACAAGAACTGTAGGTAAACCATTATGGTATGCATTACTGGGAAGGCCATTATGGAAATAATGTGCCCTTTAAGAATCCCAATGGCAACACAAAAAAAATATGTTTGCAGAGAGTAACTATGATTTGAGGTAATAGAAGTCCTTCTTTCAGCAACATGCCAAAACAAGGGAACTCGCGTATTTCAGAGAAAAATTTGAAGGTCATGATCATGCAAGTAGCTTCAAATCAAAATAACTTTTAATACTAGACTGGTTTCCAAGACAAAAAGGCATAAGAAGACAAAAAACCCCAAAAAGGTAATTAAAAAGGTGAAGATACAACATTTTTTTAAAAAATGATCAGGCTAAGTACTGGAAGCACTTACCAAGGGCAAGGAAAGCTTCTACCATAATGTTATTATTCTATATCATGATTGGAATATATTCCAAAAGGCTTCTGCAAGTTCTACTTAAAAGTTACTTGCCTTGCTGCATGTCATTTTACAATCATTTAACACAACAGGAAGTGAAATCAGAGAACAATAATGACCTGCTCCAGTTTTAAAATCTGCCAATCAAAAGATCAGGAGATGAAGTAAAGGCTCCAAGACTACAGAGGAAGAGTGACAGAGGCGTTGTTGTATTACTGCTTGACAGGGCTAAACAACTGAACTTCTCCAGAAACTCCCTTTTGCAGACAAACACTACAGGAAAAAGCTGACAAAAGAGCTTTTGAATAGTGACTGCACTAGCATGTAGCACTTATGAATAATGGCCATTTATATTCTGTATTAAGATTTCACTAAGTTCAGAATTGTAGGTCTTCCAAAGACTTGAAAAAGAAAGGCCATAATACAACTAATACTTCCTAAAAAATATTTCTGACTAAATGACAAGTTACAGAAATTGTGTAATTGGTTTTGACATTCTTATCTGACCCTTATTTTTGCATATTTTTCTCTTTTTTACTGAGATTGCACAGATATAGCTACTTCCACCCTTTCACAATTCAAAGCATTTAAGGGTTCCATAAAAGAAAGCTTCAGTGTGATATTAAACTTTGAAGTTTTATAAAAAAATTCAAGGTAACGTTTGAGAAAATTACTGTAGGGAGAAAACATTTAATATTTACCTATGCAAATATTTACATTTTTCTATGTAGTCACTCTAAAATACACCATTTTTATGCAAAAGAAAGTCAGTAATATTCCTTAGTGAGAAAATGAAAGGGAAATAGGTCTACTATTTTCAATACTTTCCTTCATTACAAAGGGACTAAATGCCTTTCTGCATAATTGTAATTACTGGAAGGTGTTGTATTAAAAATTAGCTTTATGTTCATTTGGCACTGTGGATACCTTGATAATTAGTCTGCAGAGCATGCTAGAAATGCTCAGCCACTGTAAACTATTCACAAAACATACAGTCCAGCTTGAAGCAGTTAACAAATACTGGAATGTGCAGGTTGTCCCTTCTAACTGCAGTTAACCTTGTCTGAAAAAACTTGTTTCTGAATAGACTTCTAAAAAATTGGCCCAAAATGCATCTACAGGTCAGATTTTCTCATGGTCAAAGCCTGCAGGTAAATATTTTAACTCTCAAATTGTCTTTTTAACAAAAGGAAGTGAAAGCTTTTAAGTTTGTGTATGTTAGAAAAACATCAGGTCACCAGTTTATATAACAAGGCATGAGCAAGGCTTTGTTACCTAGTCCCTGCATTTTACTGGTTCTGGTGACCTCTGTTTGTGTCATCCCATTTGAACTGAGAAACACTACTTGGGAAATCAACCTAACCTCAGTTTTTAGTTGCAGGCTTCTTGTTTGTAACATTTCATACCAACTGTTTTATTTCCATGGAATTGTCTAAGCATTAGCCACATGCAACCTTTTTGCATCTATGTTTTGCAGCAAGAATTTCCACATTTTACAGCATAAAAGGCAGTATTTTGTTTGAATCCACCCATGTACATCTCATTGTTGCCACCCACTTCTTCATTTCTGAGAGCTGACACTCACTACATGGCTACTGTCACAGCACACCTCACAGATTTCTAGCAGAGCTTCTCCCTCAGGGCACTGTCTTCCAGGCTAAAGAGTATTACTTGAAGTAATTGTTTCTTTTACAAATGCTGTTTCACCATCTGGT